AAAAAAAAATAAATCCTGTCATACCATTGGTTGAGGCCGTAAGGTTGAATTGGTGCTCCAGCATTATTCTGACCAAGAAGATTGGGAAAATTCCCACGCATGAGTAAAGAATTCAGAGGATCAAGTAAAGGAGGAAGTGCTTGATTTCCAAGGAGGTTGCCATGGCCTCCACTGAAAAGGACCTAGTCAATTGTCAAGTTAAAATAAGTGAATAAGATTTTCCAGTACCTATTGGGAGTGTGGAAGGGAAGTTCATGAAGTCCAAGTGGCTCCGGTTGTCTATTCGGGGGTCGGTACGGGTGAAAAGCCGATGGACCATCACGTCTGAGGATGTTATTAGGTTGGGCGTCAACAGGAGGTATGCCATTGCTGAAATTGTACATAATAAGTCTTCCAAGCGATATGTCAAATCAAAGGATTCCTACTTGTGATTGTCGTTGTCGTTTCCGTTTGGGAGGGCATTTCTTTCAATCTCTGGAGCGTGATGAACGTTGTTGTTGTTTATGTCTGTCGTAAATAAGATGGGTGTTTGGACAGCTCGGTCACGTTGATGATTCTCAAGAGCCGGGTAACGGCTAAAATGATCAGTAATCATCCCCTTAATGATACCGTAATACTCCTTTAGGCTTCGTACTTGATGAAATCGCGGACAACGTCGATTTCATCTCGTTCGGAAGTTGTGTTACCGTGTAACTCTGCGTTTTGAGAAGTTTCTTGGTCAATATGGCGCTGATGTTCGGAAATAGGTTGTGTGGACCTGAAATTAGCAATGCTCACAATTTGATGGCAGGTATGAATCGCGACGAGCAATCGCGAAGGGCTCGTCAGAACTGGGTCACTACGCGGCCTCAGTTGGACGAGCTGACCACGATGGCGCATCCTGGCTCATACCTGTTGCTAAATGATCAAGCAAAGTCTTAACATAAAACTCGCGTACCCCTGATCACCGGAACCGTGCTCAACGAGTTCAGTCTGAGAAGCAAGTTCATTGCCATGATGACGCTCGATTTCTTTTGATGGGCTCGATCTAGCTTCATTCGTTTGACCGCGATTTGCAGTTGATCTATCGCCACTATAGTTATCAGTGAATCATGTCCATATTGTGATCAGTTGAGCTTGACCAAGAAACCCTTTACACTCGATTGGAACACATTCTGAAGGATTTGAATAAACGCGATTGGCTGCTTTTATAGTCCGCCGTCCGGCCCGCCAGTGTGCGAGCGAGCAAGCGACCGGGGCGGCGCTTGCCCCTTGTTTACGACTGAATCTTGGTCGATACCGCCGGACGAGTAGTCCCCCTGCCAGCTCGCGCGCTCCCGGACTATGGAGGCAGGCGTTGTTCCAAGTTTTCCTTTCTCGCATTCTCGCTAATTTGACATGTACGGATTTGGCAGTACCCGTGTGCGGCTTGCCCAGGCCTCTACCAAAGTTATACGGCGTGATAAGGACTTTACCAATTCAATGATGTCATCATATGTCAGTTAATTGTCGATTATTAAATATTGTACTCATCTGATGAGAAAAAGTGTCGAGAACATTATAATAGTTGTCCAAGGGACAGCTGGTTAGACTACGTAAATCAATGCACACAGAAAAAGTATATTTTATCCGAGAAATAAGTGCTATAAAGGTTATTAAGAGAAAAATGCACGCCATTCCATTTTTCTGTGCTTCAAATGGTGGGATGTAAGGTGGAAAAATGAATTGACGCTGCCTACCCACTGGCACCGTATGGATGCATTCAGAGTTTGCGTTCCCACACCGCAGAAAGTGCATGACGCCTGCCACCTCTGCAGAAATCGATACCGGCAGGCCGATCTTCATGGTTACAGCAGCGGTAGTTAATGACTTGTTGGTAAGATGCACAATCCCATACCCCGCCCACGCAATTTTTTTTAACCAATTATCCTGAATTTTCCTTGATACCGCAATTATGTCGAAATCGACCTACCCAGCAGTGTTGTCCCCCTGCAGACTGTCCTGTCGCACTTCGGGAGTTTTCTCGTGGCAACCATTCTGGAACATTCGAATGAACGCTAGAAATAGCTAGCTGCATTCTTCACAAAAAAACTCACATCACGTTTAGAGATGGAACCTTTGCCGCATTTCTTCGACATTTCTACTGATCTGAAAAGTTCGCCACATTAAAATAAGTATGATGCTAAAAAAGCCAATGTAACATGAAAACAGACATCTTGTTCGCTGTATGAAAAATCTTAGGCGGGAACTTAAATGTGTGTGGTGTGCCAGCCACCGCGACGTCTGCGCGCAGGTGGAAGGGGCGCGCACATGAGGGCTTCGCCACTAGGCGCGACGCCCGCTCTGAATGGCTGCTTTCAGATTTCTCCACCGAAACAGCCAATGATGGGGAGCACTGGGGGTCGTGGTTGACACCTTTTTTTCTAAATATAACAATTATGTCAAAAAAAAA